CTCTTGTGTGTTTTTAAGAAGTTGAACTGACTTTTTTAACTTGAATTTTTAAATACTGAAACATATTTATTGTAAACATTCAAGCAATGCAGATATAAAGACTAAAATTAAAGTATCTTATTCTTGCATCCCCATCTACTTTCCCCTCCACAAAGATTTTCTATGTATCCTTTCAGGGTTTTTCCTACATATTTATATTCACAACTTATTAGAACAAAATGTCTTTGTATATGCTGGTATTTATCATCTACCCATGTACAATGAACAATTTCATGTCCGTACATATATAGATCTACCTCAATTACTTTACTACTGCATAGTATTCTTTACTAGACCAGAGTTTAACTGTTTCACTTCTGGTGAATATTTATTTTGCTTCTAATTCATTGCTGGAATAAATAATACCAAAACAGTCTTCTGCATATATTTTTGTGCACATATATTAGCTTCCCCAGGCTAGGAACAAATTACCATAAACCTGATGGCTTGCAAACAACAGCAGTTTATTTTCTCACACTTCTGGAACCCTGCAGTCTAAAATCAAGGTGTTGGCAGGGTTGGTTTTTTTCTGCAGCTCTGAGGGAGAATTCATTCACACCTCTCTTACCTCTCTGACTCTCTTCAGTGTCTCGAATCTCCCCCTTCCTTCTCTTATAAGGACACCAGTTACTGATGTCGAGATCATTACCTTAACTACGTCTGCAAAGACCCTTACTCCAAATAAAGTCATATTCTGTGGTTCTGGGTCAACATGTTCTTTGGTGCCATTTTTCAACCCACATAAGAATGTGTCAGATACAGCAGAAAATGGTACTGCTAAAATGCCCTTCAAAAGGTTAATAATTTTCACTTCCACAAAGGGAATAAAGTGCTCTTTCCCCCACATTCTTGCCAACTTTTAAAACTTTTTGCTAAATTGAAATGTTAGTTAAAAAATAATGTAACAACACTTCTTCTATTATATCTCTGATTTTTAGTAGGGTCATTCCTCTTTTTATGTATTCGTTGATTATCTGTACTTCTTTTGTGAATTACCTATTCACGCTATTTTGTCATTTTCTAAAGTGATATATCATTTTCTTCTCAATCTTTAAGAATTCTTCAGTCTAGACAGACTTGTGGCAGGCAATATATACAATGTTCATATTTTGCCTATTCTATATATTACAATTTCCTCCAAGTCTGTCATTTATCTAACTTTTTATCTTTCACTACAAAACATTTAAAATATTTATTTAGTCAAACCTATCAAATTTTCTTTTGTGGTCTTTGGGTTTCATTTTATATTTTATTGGGTTGGCCAAAATGTTCATTTGGTTTTTTCCTGTAAGTGGCTCTAAGTTGCACTCAGTTGTCTCTAACTTCACTTCAAACAATTTTGTTAGATTATATTGTGACAGCTGTCTCACCAGTGTGCATTTAAAAAAATCAAAATTGGTCAATTTTTGTATAGCCATTTTAATATTGCAGATGGAAGAAAATATACAACATGTTCAGCATATTATGCTTTATTATTTCAAGAAAGGTAAAAAAAACAACTGAAATGCAAAACAGGATTTGTGCAGAGTACTGAGAAGTTGCTATGACTGATCAAATGTGTCAAAAGTGGTTTGCAAAGTTCTGTGCTGGAGATTTCTCCCTGGACGATGCTCCACGGTTAGGCAGATGAGTTGACAGCAATCGAATCAAGACATTAATTAGGATCAGCATTATACGATGTTATTGGCAAAAATAAAAAACGTGTCTTTAATTTTACATAAAAAAATAAACAGACTTTTTGGCCAACTCAATAGTTTTTTAAGATTGTATATGCTATCACAAAGTAGGACAAATACAGACCTATGAGTCACTGAAAGCATATTCTCCTCAGTCTGCAAATGCCTTATGAATGAGAAAATATTGGAGGTGCCAGAGGATGCTCTAGGCTAAATGTGAAAATACAGAAAGGATGAATAGTAAAGTTGGAGAAGGTACAAGTGATTTAACAATCCATCAACTGCTGATATACAACAATGCTTTATGTCTGAGAGGGAAGACAAATGTAAGGCAAACACATTTTTCAGTCCTCTAGAAGTCTACAATTAAGATGTAAGCAAAAAACATTTTAAGCAAGTTAAGTGGCAATAATTTTTCAAAAAAATTAGCAATGGGCTTCAAATCAATGGGGTCCATGGAGATGACAGTACAATGTAGAAGAGAATTCTGATTGGTTTCAAGAGATGGTGAGTACCAACCCTAATTTAAAAAAATTTGGAAACTTTCATCAAGCTATAAAAAAAAAGTGCACCTATGATAGCTAAACAGCTCAATGAACTTCTACAAAGTACTGTAAACTCACCTGCAAAACCAGCACTCAACTCAAAAAATAGTACATGACAGTACCGAAGGCCCCTCCTACTTCCTTCTGGCCACTCCTTAAAAGTTAAGATTAGTTTTGCCTATTTTTGTGTTTTATATAAATGGAGTGATATACTATGCACTTCTTTCTCTCAAAACATGTGTGACATTTATTCAAATCTTGCGTGTAGTTGTAAAATTTTCTTTCCTTCTACCGCACAGTATTCTATTACGTAAATATATGAATACATCACTTATCAATTACACCAATGACAAGGAGCTTGTGTAGTTCCTACTTCTGTGCTCTTCTGAAAAGTACTGCAATGAACATTTTAGTGCCTTGAAGTATCTTAGGGTGTATAGTATCTTTTGGCTATATATTAGAGGGAAGAACTGCTGAGTCATAGAATGTACATTACTTTCAGCTTTAGTAAATACTGGCCATATGGTAGTTATAAATGACGGTTATAAAGCTCCTTCAGCATTGTATGAGAGTTCCATTGTGCTACATTCTCATTAACACTTTTTTCCCACTCCTTTTTCACATTAGCCATTCTAGTGAGTATGTAGCAAACGCAATTAATATGAAAGTTCAAACAGTCAGCAAATCTCTCACAACAAAAGATCAAATAATGAGAAAAGGAGGCAGCCATTAAAAAGAATATGGGTATTAAGGTGTTGTAAAAAACTCATTTTCACTAATAAAATAGTAGGGGAAAGTAACACATACTAAAGACAGACAAAAATAGCTCAATCACAGAGCCAGCAAACAGTCCTTAGAAGTGGAGGAAAAAAAAATAAGAAAAGACAAAAATAGGAAGCATGGCAAATAAGTAGTCAGTATTCTGGTAACTGTAACCTACAGTATGAATTCTCTCACTAAGATATTGCAGTCCATACTTTTCTATAGGAACAATGACTACTCTATTTCGGTGATGAACATCAATAACATTTTTCCAAATAAAATACAATATTTTAGTAAAAACTTATCAAATAGCTTCTCTATATAACACAGTGTGAAATCCTACCTGCAATATATAAGATATATTTCTTTAAGAAACTACAGTGTATAGTTTGAATAGGGCATACGTTTTTAGTACAAAAACAAAAGTCAGAATCTGTAATACTATCTTCACATCTGTCTAATATCCAACTTAAAAAAAAAATCCCAGACTTCCAGTTAAGCTAGTAAGAAAAGAAAAATCCTGGCACAAAGGGAAAATACAAATTATCTCCATTTGCAGGTTAGAATCATGATCTCATGTCATCCATAAGCTCCTAGAGAATGAGGACAATATCTTGTAATTTATTAAAGTACTCTTAGCAGAACATTCAATAAATCCTACTTGCGAACATGTTAGAATCTACAACTACTAAGCAATTTATCACATATGCTGCTTCAAGTAGCTGGTGAAAAGTGATTAGATATTTATGTATTAAGTTCTGACAGACCTAGTTCAAATGCTCATTATTTATTTATTTATGTTTAGAGAGAGGGAAAGGGAGGGAGAGAGGTAGAGACACATCGATGTGCAAGAGACACATCGATTGGTCACCTCTTGCACGCAGCAACTAGGGACCTGGCCCACAATCCAGACGTGCACCCCAACCAGGAACTGAACCAGTGACGCTTCAGTTTGCAGGCTGGCACTCAATGCACTGAGTCACACAGCCAGGGCAAAATTCTCATTTTTAATAAGATTTCGTCCACAGGCACAGACTTTAAAAGTCACACACACAAAAAAAACAAACACTGGGAACTTCAAAATAACAAAGTAGAAAGCCATAAACTATGTCCAAGAGATCAAACCTCTTTTTTTTCTAAATAAAGCTTTAGCTTATTTTTGCAAAGTTCACCTTGGTGAGATTTACACTTGATTACTCCAACCAAAGAATGACACTGTTAATTTATAAATGCTGACTCTTCAAAAATTCTGATAGACCTAGTATCAGAACTAGTATCACCTAGTATATATAGTAACCTATGATAAAAATTGTGTGATTTCCTGGGAGCTTATTAGCTTGATCTTTTCCAGGTTAAAATTTCTAACATTCATAAGTTAAACTGATGTTAGGTATTTTACATTAATAGAGTGAACAATGTAGTTTATAAAACTTGTGTATATTTAGTTGATTACGTAATTTCTAAATTTTGAGAATTTATTTAATTGCTCAGAATCTGTAAAGTTTTAAGAAGTATAAAAATGACTGAAGAGTAAGAGTGAGCTCTAAGAAATCATTTAAGAAATGCTAGCGAAACATTACAGGGAAGACCAGGACACTGAAAAGAAACTTTCTGATGACAAAGAGGTTTTTACTGAAGAGACAAAAAAAAGAGCAAATGCTACAAAACTAATCAAACATAAATCAAATACAAATAATCAACAAGCAGTCATGAATATGAAAGTGCACAACACAGGATGGTGCTACAATTGTGAATCTTTTAATCCCAGACAATTCTAAATTATTCTCCCCAAAGATTACAGACTAGACTTGTTAAGTGTAGTATATGAACAGAATGGGAGTGTTGTATTACAAGAAAAATACAGATAAATAAAATATATTAATACTTTATGAATAAATGCAAAGATATGCTCATCCAACACATGTTCCACCAGGTACAACTAGCCACACTAAAAACAAAATGCTAAAAACTCACTCACTGTCTTCTGTGGGAAGGACCTGCAGGGAGTAAATCCACTCTATTATATCCTCTTTGTTCACCACATCTAAGGAATCCAACATATCCAGTCCAGACAGCGCAAAAAATGCAATTGTCAACCTAAAAGAAAAAAGTCAGATCCCATCTTTACTATCAAATCACTGAAGATTTTCTAATTCAGAGTACTAATAAACTCACTTCAATTTTCCAATTAAACTAAACACAACTCCCATTTTGCAAAAGCCAAAACACAAATATACTCTTATAATTTAGTAATAACAATCAAACCATTGTTTCAATTTTTATAAAAGGGATATTTTGGGGTTAAGAAATCAATCCTACTCATCTGAATTTACTGAAGCCTGTACATCAGTAGCCTGAAGGCTAAAAGCAGATTTAAAAAAGAGAGTTTCCTGCACTTGTTCAGTACAAATAAAGTCAAAAGCCTAGAAAAATATATAAAAATCTCAATTTTCACTAATTTGCCAAGTAATTATGCTTATAGCTGCTGCTTAGTTCTTAAGGAATGTTACAATAAATCCACTTTTATTCAAATTTGTTAACAAATATTGTGTGACCTTAGAAAAAACTTATAATGAAATTTAGAAAGGAACACTTAAAAAAAAAAACAAATGCATTTCAACCTAGTTCTCCCAAAGAGAACTATTCTTTGATGGAAGGAAAAACTGTAAGACAATATTCATTCCCCCCCTCCAAGACTGTGCACAAATCAGAATCTGAACACTATGCTTTCATATAAAAACTAGTACCTTAGTGATTGCTTCTCACATGAAGAGCTTGTTATGTATAATTCCTTTCATGTTGAAATCCATTCCAGAATGCTGTTTAGTTCAGCATGGTTATCCCATTTCCATATTTTAGTAATTCCTATGACTAATATGGATAAATTAATACTTCAAATTGTCTGGTCTAAAATCTTATATAGCAGGGCTGCTTGAGGCATTCTTTAACTTTTTAATGGAGGTTTTAAAAGAGGATTAAGGCTTAATGCCCTAAGGCAGTGTGAGGTCCTAAGGCACTTTGGACATTCAGAAACATTCTGAAGACGTTTTTGATTGTCATAAATAGGGAAGGTTGCGTCACCTTAGTTGGTAAAGGCCAGGGATGCTTCCACATGTCCAATGTTGCACAGGTCAATTCCATTAAATAAAGAGGTATCTGGCCCCAAAAGTCCATAGTGCTGAAGTTGAGAAACCATGCTTTAAAATCATATTATCTGTTTGTGTTAGCTAAATAATCTGTTTTTCATTTTATTTGCTCCTGAGAATGAAGGCAAATACCAGAAATCAGTCATCTGATGATAGGCTATTTTAAAATTTTGCATATTTAATTATTAAAGACTTTTAAAAGTCTAGCATTTTCAACTCATTGTGTTATAGAAACAAACCCCCTCTCCCTAAGGGTCTTGGTTCTTTTTTGCCCTACTCGCCACTGGGTAGGAATTGGGGCTCTCAATGCCAAGGTTGGTAAAAAGAAAAGGAACTATTCATTTAAAAGTTACACAGGTTTAGAGTAATAGAGGAATGTTGCTGTTACACCCCAAACTCCCTTTAAAACACCAGCAAACATACAGTCCTACCTCCCTTTGCCAAAACAGGCCAGGAAAAGAAAATAGAAGCTGGTAGCTCCGCTAGGCTCCCGTTCTTAATCCAAAACCACATCTTCCCGGTGAGCCTGGGAATCCTTCTGCATCTCCTCAAACCGCTGAGAGTTCCACACGGCTGCTACATCTTGCTTTCCTGCTGCCTAAACCAAGTGGTCAAGAGAGAACCCTCTCCACTTCCCAAAAGCCCGTGGTTAAGCCCTGCATTGCTTCTGTGCCTAGGTTTAAATCTCTGCGGTGTGGATCGTCCCCTGAAACTTCATTTCTGACTTCCTCCACAATTGGCTACACCTGCTAGCACTCCTGTTCTTTGCCTTCCTTGGCTTCACAGTTAGTCCCGGCAGGTATGGCCCAAGGCATGGAGGAACCATCTCTAAGCTCTCACACTGGCACAGGTACTGTAACCTGGGAGCTGCCTCCCAGTTACATCAAGGGTCAAAGTCACACTGATCTTCAAGGCTTCATACTAGCCAGGAGGCTAGTCTGCTGTTACTGATATGCAAAATAACTCTCAATACCGATGCTGCTGCTTTTTCCAGCCTCCAAACTAGGCTTGGGGGGGGGGCGGGGCGGGCCCTGAGGCCTCTTGGTTTAGCCTCACTAAACCCACACCCCATTATAACAGCAGTTGAGACTAAGTTTACAGATACAGAGCAAAGCTTATGTTTAAAAAGTGAAGCTCTCAGCAGTGGCTGGCAGACAGGACCAAGAAGTTATCTGGGGCCTATCCTAGGGTAGGTTAGGCCTACCCTACCCTTTCCTTTCAACAGAAAAAGAAAGTATTCTTTTTTCTGACCACACTAGAGTTCTCAAGTAGTCCTAAAACTTTGAGAGGAAGAAAATTAAACAGGCCACAGAAAATACAGGGACATTTTTGGGTGTGGGCCTCTGAGAGGAATAACATGGGATTTTATGGTGCCCTGATGACTGCTACTGGGGATGTAGATTGCTGTGCAACCTGCCCTGGTGCAGGCATATAGAGGAATGATCTTGTCATGCATGTACCTAAAATCCAGCTAGTGAGGTTATTTTTATTTTTCCTTTGGAGACCATCTGCCGGTTCTCTTCCATTCTTCTTTCCCCTAGAATTGAACTCTGAGTGTGTAGTCTGAAAATCCAAAAGCAAGCTAAGTCTTCCTGCCTCTTCTACTCTAACCAATACATATAAAAAGTATGGTATCTCATGGATGAAAAAGTAACATTTTTTGTCCCTACATCAACTTGCTTCACCAGTGGATCATGAATGACATCTCCAAAAGATCTCAAAATGTTCAGGCTTAAGAACAAACTGTTTGGGGGGGGGAGGAGGAGAGAAGGGAAGAAGCACAAAAAGGAACTGAGATCAAATAGAACCTCCACAAACTTTTTTTTTTTTAAGTAAAATGAGTCTGGACAGTAAAAAAAAAAAGAATTTAGCCACACTAATACGATTTTCCTATGCCACTGAGTAGGATACTATTAGGCTAGATAGAGCAGGTGAGTGACCATTTGGGAGTACACTGTAACACTGACTTATGGGAATTGACTAGATTCCCAAACTTTGGGTCTCTTCCTCTGCCCCTTTCTAGTACAATCTCTTTAATGGCATCTTCAAGTGTCTTTAACAGTAGACTACACTCCTGCCTATGTTATAGGAAAATGAAGCAACCAGACACTGAGGGATTCTGGAGTACGAGGTTTATTATTTAACGTGCACGGGCCCAGAGGAGTCAGTCTCCAAATTCTGAGCCCCAAACAAAGGATTCTTGGGGAATATATAGATTAGGGGTCTTCCTGTCTACATGACAAACATGGGATACAGAAACAGAATGTGAAAATTGTTCTATCAGCGGGGGTGCTAGTTCCAGTCCTCACTATCCGGCCACCCGCCCTCCCAGACGGCCCCATCATTCTCTCTAGGGCGCCTGGGGCCTGGGCAAATAAAGGTTAAACAGAGGTTTTTCAAAGTTTCCCATATCACCTAGACCTCAAGTGGGGCCATACCTAAATTATATTGCAAAGACTTCTAAAATTAAAAGCAGCTACATTAAAAAATGTTCCTACATTTTGTTCCTACGCTCAATAAAATGATTAACAGTGGAAATGAAGAGCCCTCCTTAAAGGACACATTAGAATTAATCTGAAGTTAAAATACACAGCAGACAGAGGCCTGAATAAATACTATGGAATGGCTGATGAACTACTGAGTAAATTCTGGAATTTTAAGCCTTATTCTTCACCTGTAGTATTTTTAAATAGCTGATTCATCTGGTAAATTTTTTTTAATATTTAATTTATTTATCTTTAGAGGGGAAGAGAAGGAGTGAGGGAGAGAAATATCAATGTATGGTTGCCTCTTGTGTGTCCCCTGCTGGGAACTGGCCTGCAACCCAGGCATGTGCCCTGACTGGGAAAAGAACGGCAATACTCTGGTTTGCAGGCCCGCGCACTCAATCCACTGAGCTACACCAGCCAGGGCTGGTAAATATTTTTAAGTTGAGTCTTTTGAGGGAGTTATTTAACATGCAAAATAATTTTTCAGTAAAAATCATTTACTGAACATCTACTACAGACAGGATTTTGTGACAAAAGTGAATAAAACAAGCATACTAACTTTAAGTAGGTTAAGTTATGGGGGGAAAAACTTAGTAACTATATGATAAGTCCTCATCTTCCTTTCTAAACCTGCCCCTTCTGTCTCTTTTTCTCTAGACCTCAGGGCAGTTTTAATCCTTTAATACGGGGACTCCTCACTTTTCCTTCATTCCTCCCTTATCCCTATTTCCACTGCCCCAGGACTTGGCTTCTGAACTACTGCAACAGCTCCCTAATTGGTCTCTTGGTTCTGGTCTTGCTCCACTTAATATAAAAACCAATCTCAAATCCAATGTTTACTTTGAAATGCGTAGTTAAGTAGGAAGATCCCAGTGATTGGCTACTTCCCATCACTTACATGATAATAAGTTCAAATTTCCTGACCTGGCACACAAAGCTCTCTGTGATCTGGTCCAAGTCTACCTCTCCAGATTAACTTCCTACCACACCTGCCTTACATTTTGAACCACTATTAGAGAACTGACTGAAGTTTCTCTGCTCAACATTCACTTACCTGACTTTATCATCTTTGTCTATTTGCCTATAATGGACTGGCATACACACACATACACAAAAAAACTGAATATTCTTTAATATTTAGGTCCAGGATTACTTCTTCTAAGAAGCCATCTCTAAGCCCATCTTTCTTCTGGTTGAGCTACGCAGGGGGGTTCCAGAATGCTCTGAATACAATTACTGTGCAAACAAACTCAAACTGTGGTCAGGAGATCTGCAACACCAGTTATCACTGGACAGCTTGTTAGAACTGCTGTATCTCAGAACCCACCTGGACCTATGCTATCAGAAACTACATTTTCAAAAGATTCCAGGTGATTCTATATGCACATTAGAGCTGGGCAGCACTATTCCAATCTGTTTCTCCTACCGGGCAAACAATCTCAATCTTCACTGTACATCAGAACCAGCCAGGATGCTTACAATAATGAAGACTCTCAGATTCACACAACATCCAATGTAGATCTGGGAGCAGGCCTAGGCACGTGCATTTTGTAAGTATGCTGATGTCACTGATTAAGAGCCTCCCACCATCACCACCATACTTTGAGGGATATGTTGCTAGATTGTGATATTCTTCAGATAAGGGAGGGAATGAAAAGACAGAATAGTTTTGGGATGGTTGGCAGCCACAGTTGCAACACAGGATGCACAGGGGAACATGGAAGGAATCAGAAGCAGAAAGATTATCTTGTAAAATAAAAGCTATCTAAACCCTTCTCCTTGAATAGTTGAATCTGTAAAAATAACATAACATGGTCAATATTTTGTTCCTCGATTGAAAAAAGCCTACTCTAATTCCTCTTAACTAAATACAAATGGCAACAAGAACATATAACCAAAAAAACCTCTCTAAACCACCCATAAGAAACCTGTTAATTGACAAAGCTCACAATCCACAGTTTACTATTCCCTTGAGGTAACTAGTAACTACCACTTTTCAAAGCTGATAAAGAAAATCCTCAAGTGAAACAACAATATACATTTGAATTTTCATAAAGCCATTATTAGAAAAGTAAAAATTATTCCTATTAGTCAGTCTAAAGGAAACAGGGAAATGAAAGAATTTTTTTAAACTGGTGGGTCAGAAAATAAAATCAAATTTTAGTCTTCTTAAGAATCAACTTTTCATATCTATCAATAAAAAGGAAGGAACACAGGAACACCTGAATTACTGGTTTAATACCATATCCCCATTCCCACGCACACAGTAGGCACTCAATAAATGCCTGTAGAATTGAACTGTGGTATTGGGTAACAATCATGTCTTTGTCAATGCACTGTTTTCCTTGAAACTCTAGTATTAGTAGAAATTTGTGACTATCATTTTTGCTTAAAAGGTTGGAGCTTCTTCACAAGTATCTTCAAGTCAATTATGAATCACATACACCACAAAAAACCAATGTAAACTAAGGATCCTGTAAAGACTGTAAATAAGAAAACTGAAAAACTTTAAAAAATCAGTACAAAAACTGATAGGTACAAATTATCTTAAATGTGTTACTGAAACTTAAGAAACCAAAAGTGGTTTTTAAAAATTCTATTCAAGTAACAAACACAAAAGATGTAATATCTCTTTGCTAATGTAACATATCTATTACCTAATATGTAATGCCTGGTCCCAAAATTATATTAATGTTATTAAGTCAATTATTACATGAGTTGTTTAAACAATTTTGCTGTTTTACTTATGCTGTGACCAGGATTACGGTTTCCTGCCAATATCCATTAGTCTATACGGTTTTGTCCATGCTGAAATTTTAAGGAACAGACCAGTCAAACACACCTGTATTTTGAAAATGCAATCACAGACCTATAATAGCTATAAGCAAAGTTCAACAATCACAACAGAATGAAAAATTTTTTAATCCACATAAAATTAATCTCATTAAAACACAAATGTGATTTATTAAAATATTTCTTAACATCTCATATCATACAATTTTGGAACTTTTTCTTAAATTGAATTTATTGAGGTAACATTGCTTAATGTTATATAAATAGAAATCTTAAGTCTAGGCATGGGCTGTGCTAGTCAATCAATACCTATGGACAGAGAAAGGCATATAAATAATGTTTTTTTTTAAACAAGCATATTTTCCATCTTTCAGGGCTCAGCTCACATTATTCAACAAATATTTACTTAATATGCTAAATACTGTTCAATGTGCCAGTACAGTGCTGTCCAATAAAACTTTCTGAGATGATGGAAATACTGAAATAGAAACAAAAGCCATTGGTCAGTGTGGTGACAGAGCACATGTACTATGGTGGCTACTGCAAACAGAACTGGGTTTTTAATTTGATTTAATTTTAACTAATTCAAATTTAAATAGCCAAATGTGGCTTATGGCTACCACATTGGACAGGGCAACCCGAGTGGTACAGAAACACACAGGGTACACAAAGACTCTGCCTTTGTGAGGTTTACAATCCACTATGGAAAAAAATATACTAAAAAGCAAGCCAATGAATATATAATTTTGGGTGGTGACTGGAAGTGGTGTCTTTTGCAAAAGGTGATTAGGAAAGGCATCTCTAAAGAAATGTGGATTAGGTACCTGCCTTTCCCATATGCTCCTATGAGCCCTAAACAAACAGCATTGACCCTACTGAAACTACTTGTCTTGGTCAGCTGTGCTCCAGCACCTAACATAATAAACATTTCTTGAACAAGTACGCAGAAGTATTCTATAAAACTTCCAAAATGAACCCAGTCGCGCAGTGTTCAAAATACACCACAGACTCTGAGTTCAAAAAATGTGGAGAAAACAACCTGCTTTTTCTTCCCAGCTAGTCCCATGCAGCTTTGGAGTCTCACTTCTAAACACAGCAATGCAGAGCAAAGACTGCCTCCTCCTTTCGTTCTTCTCATCCCCAGACTTTTACTCTGAATGATTAATTCATAGTTTCTTAGCTTCTGCCAGATCACACTCCTCAGCCACCTCCGACTTACAAGGCTTTTGCAAATACACTTTACCAGACTGCTTCATGCAACATAATTCCTTTGCCAATCTTCTATAGATTTATAGTTCCTGGAAAGTTAATTTCTATTCAAACCCCAGAAGATCCCTTCTGCTCCTATACATCAAACACAATACAGTCACTCAATTAAGAATTAATGAGTCCAATATATAATAAAGGGAAAAAAGACTTTAGTGATGAACACGCAATAACCTATACAGGAACCGAATTAGAATGTTGTAACCTGATATCTGCATGTTATTAACCAATGTTACTTCGATTTAAAAAAAAAGTCAATGAATTAGGAAAGGGAAACACAGGAGAGACTGTTTATTTAAAATACGATGACAAATTTCTCTTTTTCCGTTTATACTGGAAAGTTATGAGGCCGGAAAGACGGGGTAAAAAGGAACTCAAAGTTGACAAGAAAAATAGGAAGTGAAAAAGGCGGAAACTGGTGATTCCAAAATCCCTAAACTTACAGTTCTAAAACCCTTCCGCCGTACTTCGAAGGGAAGTGAGCGACCACAGGCCCGCGGGAGAGGAAAGGGACCGGGCTGTGCCGAGTGGGCGACGGGCGGCGTCGCAGCCCCCTGCGAGCGCCTAGTTAGCAATAGGGCTCCAGGGCTCCTTTTGGCTGAGGCCCGGGCCCCGGGACGGCCCTACTGACTGTGGTCACCAGTTACCTGCTGGTCTCGAGCGAAGAATACCGCTCCGGCAAAACCTGGAGACAGCGCTGGAAGAACCGCACGTGCCGATCCCGCAGAAAATCTAGACGCTCTCCCTCACAGTCCCCAACCAGCCGCTCGTCCTCCGTGGCCGCCATGCTGCTCCGGAAGCGCCGTCTGCCGTGACCCGGAAGAAATTGGCGAGCAGTACAAAGTAACCCCTACCGGAGAACCTAAGGCAATGCTGTACTGTCTACGGGTAGTCTCGCACAGCACTCTGTCGCCCCGGTTTCGTTCTAGGTGACGCACAACCAAACTTTTTCTACTCCTTCGATATTAGGGAGGGAGCACAATGTTTTAAGTTAGCTTTGAGAAGATGAAGGACCTAAAGAACGTGATATGGTATATAAAAACAGGAATGACTCAGTATAAATTTTCCAATACACTCACTTTGGGGGAGGCCACAGTTTTAACCTGAATGGATACGGAAACTAAACTACAAATCAAGTTATGAAAATAAACGTTTATTAAATAATTATTGACACTATAAAAGTTGAGTCGTTCCCAGTCCTCTCCAGAATATCAGAAGTCACTCTAAGATGTATCCAAGTGCACTCTACACACATACGTTCGCACATCTGGCTGTTCGTCTCCCTTGTCTTCCACTAGTCTTCCGAACGTACTCTGCTTGAGTCAGTGTTTTGACTCCAGCATCACTTTTATTAATTTGCAACAGCAAGTAAGTTCCAGATGTTCTCCAACTACCCATACACACACACACACACACACACACAAAAAGAAGTAACACGTTTCTCGCTATTTGTTCAAAAAGAGGGCTATAAGTTGCTTCAGCCATGTTCCCTATAAAACTTCACATGGAAATTTTGAGGGGAAAAAATCCACTCAAGGATCAGGCCTAAAATAGTTAAAAAGAAATCAATTGAAGTAATAGAAGTTTGGGTATACTTTTAATTGTTTCCTTAGAAAGTATTTCTTTAAAAATGTACCATGTGTATTGGAGTTATATTTATTCGGCAATCCAAAGTGCCTTATATAATTTTAGGTACTACTTATCTTATTCACAGTTTATCCTGTGTATCTTTAACAAATACTGCATTATCAAATGGCAGAGGGCTGTCCTTGGTGATTCTTACAAGTATGGAGGCCATAATCTCTGCCCTCAGGTATGCCCAATCAGAGTAGTTTTCAATACATTATTACAATTAAGATGTCTCTCACACACACATCACCACATGTCTGAAGATCTGAAGATGTTCAAAGTGGAATCATATCACATGCATTTAACTTACTATATATATAAATAGAATCAACTCTGCACACTGTGTGTGCTCAGAAAGAGAACCCTATTCAACTTGGCCCTTAAAAGTCAGTCAAATATTTCATCTGATTCTCAGCTCAAGAACCAGCAATCTGATCCAAATCTGGAGCAATCCGATCCAAATCTGGAGGAGATATTTCTATGATGGACTCATTGAGAAATAATATAATATACCCCTAGGTAAACAAAAGGTTTTTTTTTGTGGGTGATTTTGATCATAAAACGTTTTTGACATACGCATGACAGAATCTAACCCCTGCATAAAATGTCACTCTACGTTATTAGCTAAAGTATAAATAGCTCAAGTCTTCAAAGTATGAGAATGACAAAACATCCATTTATGGAATCTTATTTAGCCATTAAGTGATGATGTTTGAGTTATGTAGAAAGATAGGAAAATATGTGTACTATAACATTAAGTGCTTACAATATAGTAACTGAAATGCAGTCTATATAAAAATACAGTCAGGTGTGACTGGCATGGATCAGTGGAATGAGTGCCAGCCTGTGAAGTGGAAAAAGTCATACCTCAGTACTCATCTCAACGTCCCACTGAGATGAGAAAAAATTGTTTCAGCACTCGGTGCTTGATTGGGACTCATTGCACTTGCTACCACTTGTATGAGTCACGATGTCGCCCCATAAGAGAAAATGCTTCATCACTCATTGCTTACTTGGTTCTCATTGGTTTCGGCGCTCCTCATGAGCTCCAGAATGAATTAAAGATAAGCACCAAGGTACCACTGTATGTAAGCATACTCTTGAAAAAAGTTACTAGGGGGTGGTGGAATTACAGGTACTTTATAACATTTTTAGTATTTTTTCCTGAGTGTCTTAATATACTTTTAAAAAAATTTTTATTTATTCATTTCTAGAGAGAAATTCATTTCTAGAAGAGAGAGGGAGAGAAACATAAATGTGTGGTTGCCTCTTGTGCAACCCGTACTGGGGATCTGACCTGCAACCCTGGCATGTGCCCTGACTGGGAATTGAACTGGCAACCTCGTGGTTCAAAGCCCATGCTCAATCCACTGAGCTACACCAGCCAGGGCTAAATGTCTTAACATACTTCTAGAACCACTATAAGAAGTGCTTATTTGGCATCTCTTCTATAAGCTTGTAACTGAAGACATTTATATTATGTTTATTCTGCATAGTCTATATAAAGGATCTATATCACAAATTCCCCATTTATTTCAGATTCAGGTAGAAGGATGAGTTCCTTCAAAGAAACATCCACACCTTCTTTTATTAAAAAACAAAATAAAAATAAACAAAAAACCCTGTAAGAATCATATTCCTGGTATGCTTACCTTAGATACAGGAAACTGAAAGCTGCATTTGTGTACAAAACAGAGCAACGTGTTAGTAAGCAGCACATAAAAACCTACCCTGTTCTGTATCTTCTAGCTGTTCAGTTCTATTTTTAGATTCCCTTGTCCTATCATATATTTTACTTCTAAATGGCCTCAAATAATTTTAAAAAGTCATGGGAAATGAGTACTGCAAAATGGGCATTCCTGATTAAGGATGTTTTATGTTAATTCTCCTATTTTGAACCAATAACTGTACAATTAGAGTTCAGTTTCCTTTGAAATTATGTCTACTTTGAATAGTAAGTGTAAAATAAAGAGGTTTTGACCATTACTCATAGTAAATTCCTGAATCATCGGGCCTAAATCTATCAAATTATAATTAAAGATACTCTAAAATAAAAGTCGTAGGAAATAAGTTTCCTATGTTATTATGGCTGTGATAATTTTCCTATAAGATGAGAACTAATTAAAGTAGGGAACTAAGATTTTATCATATGAAAAGTTGAGTCAAATTGTTATATTGTTTTCATGCACAAAAGTTTGGACATTTTTAAACTAACTCTTTTAACCAAGTATATTGAGACAAAGAGAAGAAGAAAACTGAATCAGCCAGGAAGATGTGAAAGAAACAACAATTTTATAAATATGTAAAGTCCAGAAAGGCTGGAGGAAAATTTGAAAAAGCTAAAGGAAACCAAAAAGATTTTTATCAACAATACAAATAACAGAGCAGATATGAGATGTCAGGTGTGAGGCATATTTTTAAAATTAATATTCTTTATATAAAACCAAGCATGCTTCAAACAAATACAAAGTATTTATTACACAAAAATCTAGTAACTGACAAACTACCAATTTGTAAACTTAGAAAAAGTACTAACTTATTTCATAACTGAAACAAAAAAAAAACCATACATTTTTGTTACTCAAGCTAACTTACCTCCAAAATATAAATGTTACAAAATTTTGGTTTGAAAAATGTCACTCTGTGATTGTCCCAATTTATTTTGCTGTGCCATGACAAGATCAAAATATCTTTGAAGTGTTCTCAGTATTTTAAATGAAATACTGTTTGTAACATAAGCTCATTAAAAAAACTTTTACGTCAATAATAGGCCAACATACACATTAAATACCCTCTTAGTATAAACAGGAAATACTAATAACAATACCACTTGGAACTTAATGACTGTCAATTCACACACAACACAATAATCAATCTGTCTGGGCTAGTGATATTTAAAAAACATGGTTAGCACTCTGTCCTGTTATAGTTGAATATGCTAACATTCTCATCAACTGAATAACAATTTCATTATTTCATATTCTTTTCTAAACTCCTTGTCTCCAGGTTGGAATAGCCCTAAGGAGAAGAAGAAAAGAGCAATTATAAATACATGGGAATTTTTAAAAAATCTTAACTGATTAAATGTTAACTTTTATTTTATTTTTTTATAAAGCAACTTTTACTCAAGTTATTAGATAAAGAGGCTAGGCTGTGGGTTGATATGAAAGAAGCGAAAAGTACACATCCGAATAGATGTGGGCCAACTCCTGAGTAAGTTGTGCCCATTAAATGTGAACTTTTAAAAATGTATACAGATTTGTTTTATCAACCTTTCCCTATTAAATATAATATACATACGGAAGTTGCATAAAATGTAAACATGCAGTTATTAAATTATCCTAAAGTGGACACCCATTCTAACTCCTTTATACCTGTGTGGGATACGCAGAAGAGGCCCAGAGGCTGTTGGCCCTATCTTTTTAGTCCGTTCTTCCCAACCTTTGGTAGGTTTGTAAAGCCTCGAGGGGTCTCTGCTAACATTGTTTTCAACCTGTAATGAGAAGTAAAATGAGTGCCAGTTAATTTACCTGAAATATTGTTTGTATTTTTTAGTAAAATCTGTAGTAAGGATCTTAATAAGACAGCAGTTTAAGAAAAATATCTGATTTGAACTAAATAATAAAACTGTTAACAACCTCTTCAGCAAACTTTTCAATATGTTCATATAGCTAAAATAAAATTTGGACTACATAGCCTATTAATAAACTGTTACTTTAGCTTATTTTTTCCAGTTCTATTATTTTATTCAATTTCTATTATGAGGAAAATATGACTCAGCAAAGTGTGATAGTGGCACGACCAGACAATAAACTTAGGGTAAATAACAACTAGCCAGTTCTTCGTTTACCCACGAGTCACCAACATCTTTAGCTATGAGTATCACCCACTGAGATTCAGCAATGCTACTGGTCTAAAAGAGAGGTTTATACAGAAACAATGAAGAAAAGAACAGAGTAGAAAGAGATAATTAATTTAAGATAAAAGAAAATGAGGTGCTTATAATGTGAAATGGTAGAATTGAAACAATAGTTGCTTAAATTGTACTAAGCTATACTTGTGTCAGTAAGTATAAATTTTAAAGATGATGATACAGAAATGAAGCTG